TTCTAACTAGCTCAACTATAGGTTCTGGTATTGATTTTTCTATGTCTACTTCTTCAACAGTTATTTTAGCTTTAGATGGATTTTGAAATCTTGCTGGTCCTCTTTTGTTTTTCGATACAACATTCTTTGGGTAGGGTTCAGATCTAGTATTTAGATAAACTTTATATTCATCTTCCTCATAATATTCCTCTGAAGTATATTTCTTATCATTATATTCTTCTTCATAGTATTGATCAGCTAGATTTACGTTTCTAGTGTCATCATAATAAGGCCTTCTATCAGTCCTCCTTGGTTTCTAGCAAGGTTGAGGGCAGTTCCTAGCTATGTATTCTTCTCTGTTACAATTGTAGCAATTCATTAAAGATATATTTTGTCTGGGTCTCCTAGGAGTATCATTATAAGTTCATTCTATTCGCCTTCTTGGAACTGTTGAGGTTGAGCTAATAAAGCAGTCATCAAATTAGTATAATTGATGAATAGCTGTTCTAATTTCTTTGTGAGCTCATCTACTTCAACATTGATAACCACATTTTTAGGGTAGAAACTATAGTAATGCTGATATCCTTAGAGGCTTTTCCAGAGGTAAAATTATATCCAATTTCAATAGTTCACACTGAGTTTACAGTAGCATCCAAATTGGCTGAATTTTGTAAGTAGACTAGTAGAGTGTAAGTAGGATTTAATCCTATAAGAAACATCCTTTTCTTCTGTACGCCATTTGTTAATCTTATATGAATCACTAGTTTCTTGAATTTGTTAGAATAAGAATCAACAGATTCATCAGTTTGCTGTTGCAGTGAGGTTAATTTCTGATACCATTGATTCTTCTTAGTTTCACTGATAAAGCGAGCTTTGAATAAATCTACAAAATTTTGATCACCATTTGTTCCAGTGTTCCAATTGTCTCCCATGGCAGTGGTGACACTATCAAACCAGTCAGCTGCTGTGCCCTTAAAGTATTCTTCTGCGAGGGCTTTCTTTCGTAGTTCAGTAGTCTATCTGTTAATAATAACAGCTCGTTCGAATGCAGTGAGTCATTCTACAGGGTCTTCATTTTCAGTTCCTGAAAAATAGTCAACTTTAATAGTGGATCTTTCTCCGTTTTGGATTCTGCGAAGTCATTCACTAATATCTGTCAAATGTTATTCACCATTTCTAAAAATTTCCCGGAAGATGGCTCTCATTTCTTCTCCTGTGGCCATTGTTCAATTTTGACTGAGGGTAAATTAGAGAGTGAAGTTGATAAGCTAGATGCAGAAGGTATTGAGGAAGCAACAAGTCGTGTAATAATTATCGGTCTGCTATAGGTCTTACTAGGTCCTATTCTAATATTTTAGTATATACCCTTGAAAAATAGATAAGGTAATAAGTTGTTGAAAATAATTTGTTCGAAATGATATGCCTTGTATATATAAGTATATTACGTCTGCTGAAAAAGGTCGAACACAATATCAAATGCTAGAAAGAAGCTGGTAGATAACTCTTATTAGGCAAGAGTTATGATGTTCAGATTCAGAAGTACCACTAAGTTATTCAAATAGGTTAAAGGCAACAATAGTTCTTAAGGTAAAAGTATCTGCTTAATATTCACGTTTAAACCAATTCCAAAAATTACTAAAGCTATTGGAAAGAGTTTTAATTGGAGGGGGGTAGATGATACCAATGACAAGTATAATCTTGATTAAGAGGTTCGTCTAAGTAATACCTAACTATATGCTCTGAGGTAGTTCTCTCAAGTTCCTCAAAATTCATACATCTCGCTAGTCCTTCGGCGGTTTATTATATATATTTTCAATAAAGATTCACCTAGCAGGAATCACCACTTGTTAAGCCTAAACACTACGTCATTAAAATAATAAAGCTTATTTACTAACAAGAAGTTTAAGTTGTAAACTATGAAAGAAATAAACACGAATTTATTTCAGTTGAAGGGTCAGGTTGTCTTTATTGATGATTTATGTTTTAAGGAAACAGATATTGACAAAAATATAGTTTTTATGTTATTAAGATTATACTTTATTAATTGTATGATTGAAACTTATTAGTTTGTTAAGGTGACAATACAGGATATTTATATAAAATACAATCATAAGATAGAGATAATAAATATAATAGTGAAAATAAATATAATAAATAAAATAATGATAAACGTTATAATAATGAGAATGAATATCATAATAATAGCCATAATAGCAATGAAATCGGTAAAAATAATGATCAAAATTTTCCTGGTGATCATTGATGACATTAGTTAGCACAATTATTTAGTAGCGCAATTATTTAGTTATGCAAACGGATTATTACTAATACTGTTTAAAGCTCTACTAAAAATATTTTTCTTAATAAAAAATGTTTTTCTTAACAAAATTTCATTTTTGAAAAAAAAATATAAATTAAATAAGTCAGTTTATAAATTAGCTTTACTTTAAATTGTCAATTGATTAATCAAGCTAAGCTAAATTAAACCAAAATAAAAATAGGTTAGCTTAAACTAGAGGTCTGAATCATTCGATCTGTAATCAAATTATTTGGATATGATTAACTGATTATGATGATTGATTAGACAAAAATTTTGACTAGTTATTCGATCATTTAATCAATTATTATCAACTATAAATGAATAACTGGATAATCAGATATTCAAATATTTTAAATCTATTGTTTAATAAGCATGCGATATATAAATTAATTAAAGATATTCAACTTAAAATTTTTTTTTTTATATTTTTTTATTTAAATTTTGTTTTATAAAATGAGTTTGATGCAAATTACAATGATGATGTTTCTTAGAACAAGAAGTAATTTTGAAAGATTCATTTGATGATAGAGATTAGAATTGGATAAGGCGATTAATATATTAACTGGTTAATAATTTTTTTTACTGGTTAAAATAGATGAATTTAGCTCTAACTAAAATTTAACTTCTGGTCAGAATTTAAATTTTTATGATTGCAAAATATTAACTAATTCCAGCTAAATTTATAGGATTGGCATAAGTTAATTTTAACCGATTAACGAATATTTTTAACTGGTTATTAATCAGTTAAAGAATTTTGGTCAGTTTCAACATCTATTTGACGAAAATATTAATCTAATTATAGTGATTAGTAAAAAATAATAGTTAGAATAATTAGTAAAATATAATTTGTTATTATTGTTGATAATAAAGATAAGTTCAAAATATATATTTTTTTGTTTTAATTAATGTATTGAAGATTTAGTTCTTTCAACTAATCGGTTATTCAGATAATCTGTATAATTTGAATAATCATCATTAATTAATGATTAATTTGAATATAATCGATTATAAATTTTATGAATGATTGATTAATTGAATACTAAATTTTTGACTGATTCAGACCTCTAGCTTAAACTAATGTTAGTTTATGATATAATTATGTTATAATTTTTCAAGTTATAAATTATAAGTCATATAACTATATTATCATATATTATAAAGTTATATAAAAATCACATAATTTATTCAATTTTAGCCAGTTTTATAAATAATAATTATTATATTTTTTATTTTAAGTTTTGGAAAAAATAAAATTATTCATAGAATTAAAATTATAACGCTAATCTAAATTAAGTCATATTATAAAGTTATATATATTATAATCCTTTATAAATGATAAATAATATATGATGTTAGGATAGCATTTTAATTTTATAGAAAGACTATTCTATAGTAACTATATAGCTTTGTAAAAATTAGTAATAATGAAATACTTCTTATTTCCTTTTTCTCATAAAATAATATTAATACAAACTTGTATAACAATTTAATCTAGCTTATAATACTTACTATAAATTTGTATTTTGTATACTTTAATCTTGCAAAATTTTTGAAAATTTTTATAATATTTTGTTCTAATAAAATTTAAAAATAATTTTGATTTTTTGTTATTTTATTGCAATTTCTAATATAATAAAAATAATCAGGATTTGATGTAGATTTGAAATTTTTACAACAGAAAATTTGAGATTTAATTCTATTAACTTAATTATTTAAAGTGTAAATATAAAATTGATTATAAAAAATTATAATATTTTAATAGAATAAAACATTACATTATCATTAAACATTTTAAACTTCTTAACAATATCTTTTTAGTTAATTGAAAAACATATTTTATCAATATCAGATTCTTTACATCTAATCCTTATTCTTTTATAATTCCTCTTTTTTTCTTTTTTTTGTTAAGTATAATACAAACTGATCAACTAAACCTTTTATATCAGATGTTTAAACTTATTCTAAATTAGTTTGGATAAATTAGTCTAGATGATATAAGATTGATTTTAATTTTATTTTATTTTTTAACTAAATAAAAATTTTTATACTCTTTCATTTATAATTTATAATCTTATAAAATTTTACTTTATTATTAATAAAGATTGTATCAAGTTATTACACATTAAAAAAAATTATAATATTTTAATATCTAATGATCATAAAAAGATAAATTAGATATGCCATATAAAGATATATCAATGATATTATTTTTATATTTTTAAAATTAATAATTATTAATATATATCATTTTTTAATTTTTTAAAATAATTTATTATTTAATAATTACAAAAAAATAAAATTTAATTTATTGAATTCATCTTATTAAAACATATTAAATAATTATATTTTTATAATTCTGAAATCATAAATAATAAAATATACATAAGTTTAAAATTTTAGTTTTTTTCATAATAATTTATCATATATTTATTTTAAAATATTACTATGATGCAGATTATCTATAAATAGAAATAAAATTGTATGACTTTAAAATCCTAAAACTTTTGTTCTATATGATATAAAAAAAAACAATCTGTAATAATGATAATATAGACAATAGAGAATAAAAGTTATAGCTTCAAATTTCTAATTGATTAGAAATTTTTTGAGCCTTAGGCATTTGAAAATTAGTAATTTTCCTATAAAATGTTTAAATTTTAGACTTGCAATTTATTATATGATAACGATTTTATCCAATAAAATGAAATTGATCACGTAAAAAATTGTAATACAATGATAACGATGATGATGAATTTTAATTTATAGGTTGAATGGACTTTTTTTTAAAAAATTTTTTCAGCATGCCTTGACTTAATAAAAGAAAAGCTGCACTAAAAAACGTAACCCAGAATAAAATAGGAAAATTTTTCATAGAACTTGAGTAAGTTTATAAATTGTTCAACCTATTTATAAGAATTATTAAATAAATTTATTTTTATTTTAGAATTGAGAGTGATATAGAAGGAAATATATTAGGGGAACAATTAGAAACGGTTTGGATGATACTTTTAGTGAAAATGATTGGAGAAATAATGAGGTAAGTGATTGGAAAAGTGATACTGATTTGGAAGCAAAATAAGATATGCGGGATAGACTTTTGAAGGTAAATTTTGAATTGAAGTGAAGACTAGATGCAAAGTTAGAAATAGAAAAATGTGGTCTTTATAAAATGGGTAAGACACCAAAATCAACTTATTATGACAAATGGGGACCTAGCGGCTTGTGAACAGAAGTAGCAAGAGGAACTCAAAAATTAGAAAGCTTTTTTAATCTGCAAGATGAATCAATGCAAGAAGGTTCTCAAGATATTTTATCAGATGAAGAGGAAGCCTTTATGTTCGTCTAGCCATCAGAAGACATAATTTTAAGTTTGAAAAAGGATTTAAAGAAAAACTTTAATGGAATGTTGGCAAAAGAGTATGTTACAAAAAGGGCTATATTTGAATATCTTAAACATTTATTAAAAGAAGAGAAAAAAATGAAGGCAAGTATAAATACGATAAATATAGTATATAATAGTAATAGTAAATCAACAGCTACCTAAATTCAGAAAATAGCAAAGTATTAGTACATTAACAATACTCTACCTACATCTCGTCAGGGAAAACATCAAAAGATCAGTAGAATTATTGATGATGAAGATATTGCTAAAATATGTCATAAATGGATTTGAGAAAATGAAAGTTATATAACTCCACATCAGTTTAAGAAGTTTATTCAGGATATATTGTTACTGAAAGCAGGTATTAATAAAAATGTGATTAGTATAAGTACTGCAAGACAATGGTTAAATGTGCTTGAATATCATTATTAACAATAAAAATAAGGTATATATTATGATAGACATGAGAGAGAAGATGTTGTAGAATATCAAAAAGTGTTTTTATCAAAAATAGCTGAACTTGAAAAATACATGGCAACATATGAAGGAGATAATATGAAAAAAATTGCTCCTTTATTAACTTCAGAAGAAAAAGAGCATATATTAATAGTTTATGATAAATGTATTTTCTACTCAAATGATGAGAAACGCAGAACATAGACTAAGTCAGATGAGTTACCATTACGCAAAAAAGTAATGAAAAATCAATTATGGTAAGCGAATTTTTAACTGAAGCTTGTGGAAGACTTAAACTAACTGCTGAGCAAATTGAGAATTATCTTGATGTTCCAGAAGAAGCATGAGTATATTTAAAATCAGAAAAGAATGATGAAGGATATTAGACAGCTGAACATCTTATTGAACAGGTTGAATATAAAGCCATTCCTATATTTGAGGCTTTATTTTCAAATTGTATTAGAGTATTTGCTTTTGATAATAGTTCAAATCATTCTGCATTTGCTTCTGATACATTAGTTGTAAAGAGGATGAATATCAGATCTGATGGAAATACACCTAAAATGCATACCTTTTGGGATCTAAATAATGAAAGACAAAATATGAATTTTCCTGATGATCGACCAAAAGGTGTAAAACAAGTTTTGATTGAACGAGGATTGTGAAAAAAATATGATAAGAGAATACAAGTTATGTAAAAATAAAAATGATGTTCTTCTACGTGTAGATTGTTGTGGAAGACGGATTTTATCTCTTTAACCAGATTTTTTAGCTCAAAAATCTGCATTAGTTGAAATAATTAAAAATGCTAGTCATGTTTGTATATTTTTTCCAAAGTTTCATTGTGAATTGAACTTCATTGAACGCTATTGAGAAGCAGCAAAACGACATACATGAAATAATTGTAATTACACATGGAGTGGATTACAAAAAATAGTTCTTTGTGCCTTAGATTCTGTAGATTTAACAACTATTTGTAGATTTGCAAGAAAAACATGACAATATATGAACTTATATATATATAAAATTACAGGTAAATTAGCAAAATATGCTGTTAAAAAATACAAATCACATAGAAAAATTCCTGAAAATGTATTAGAGGAATTAAATAAAATAAATTAATAAATTTCATTTATTTTAATACAAAAAATTTAATAAATTAAAACTCGATAAATTAATGATTTGATATTTAATCATGTGACAATTTTAATTCATGTGATGATTTTTAATTGGATAAAAATCACATGATGGATCTGTAATCGGCAAAAAAAAATTCAAACTGTTTGCCTTTTAGATGACCTACACCATAATTACATTGTTTTTGAATTTTTAATTAAAAAAAATATAAAATATTAATTTTAAATTCAATATTTAAAATTATTATAAATAATTTTAATTATTAAATAAAATTGCAAGCAAATTTGCTTGCAATACACTTGAAAAAATAATATCAATCTTGCTATCAAAACTACAGCAATCATTATTTCATTAAATTGAATTTTATTTAAAAGAATTGATGAATATTTCAATGCCTTTTCATTCCTATTATAATAAAGTAAATAAACTTTAAATAAAAATAGTAATAAGTAATAAACTAAATATGCTATGACTTACCAATCAAAACTCAAATCCTTAAATAGAATTTTGTATTGAAACAATAAAGTTAATAATATATTGATATTCTGTCTGTTTTTCTTTAAAAGAAATTTTTCCATTCTTGAATTAATCATAACTGTAAAATTATCAGAATTAAAACATTAACTCAAATTGGTTAAAGCATAAAAACCACTAATATACTTACAAAATCTTTGACATCTTTATAACTTGTCTTTTTTATCCAGTATTACCACTTATTCTTAATATGAAATAACTTGATTTAAATTGATTCACATAATTTTTCAAGCGAGTTCTAATAATAAAAACCAAAATCAGTATTCAACAAAGCTATGCTCAATATCTCAAAATAACATCTGCTTACCACGCCCATGAAAGATTCATTGGCGTAATTTTTATTCTTTTGTTCACTTGTTATTAATATTGATGTCACCTCTTCAACGTTGACTTTTGGACTACTGGTTAATCCATTCCAATTCCATAAAAATTTGGACTATTGAACAATTATTCTAGTTAAATGATTTTTATTATCATTCAAATTTTTAAGTTAGACTAGCATTATAAATTTGGCCAAAATTATATATTCATAGTCCATTTGAATTGGAATTGGACTGGACATCTCCATTAGTTCCAAAGTCAAATAATCCATTATTGGGAATTGGACAAGGTCCAATGCTAACACTGCATCTCTTCCATATCATCCAACATATTCTCCCAAATACCTTCAAAAAGATTCCGTGCATTTGTTGACGATGAGCAAATAGTATCAATTATGTTGTAGTGCAATAGACTGTAATCCTTAGATAATAATATATGAGAATGTTATTGATAGACATACTCTACATTATCAGGTTTAATGGATATGCCTGTTTCCTCCAATGTTTCTCTAATCACTGTTTGCATTGAAGTCTCATTTGGTCCAATGGTACCTTCCACATTTGGTACATTTCTTTTTCGGGATTATTTCTTTTTGACATAGATATCTTGTTCGTCATAAATGATATTCATCACATACTGTATTTAGGTTGTGTGGATTTCTGAAATGTAGTTGGATTTTATACACCACTCCTCCATTGTTACACGAATATCTGTTTCTCCCACAATGAGAGTGCTATCTTTGATGCTCACTACTTCAAAATTGTCGTAAATGTCATCTTCCTCAACATCATCTAATTTCCTCTTAGATGTTATGTCATTTTGTTTTTTCTGTATGCATACCGTCAAGTCCACTGCTGATTTCTTCCGATTCCTGAGAAATAATCTCCGTTAGCACGAACAACAATATTGTGATGAGGTAAATCGAACTTTATACCAAATAGGATGAATTAAAGACTACCGAAAAAAGAGATTGATCAGACGGAACCATTGATTCTACCACTTCTCTTAAATCATTCTCCATATCTGAGTTAATTCAAACGATTGTGTCAGCAACGTAGTGAACGCGTAGCATAAACGATTTGTTTGTAACGTACCACTAGTTATAGCTTGTTTGTTGTTCTCATCTTGTAGATTGGATTCATGATTTTTGTCGTCTTCCTTGCTCTTAGTTGCGTCCAATTTAGTGTTTCAGGCGAAACTATTTTTCAACATCCGAAACGTTTCGCCCAGAGAATTTTTCTATGTTCCGAAACTACGAAACTCTAGATTTTTGCAGATCAATTAGGCGAACTAGTTTCGCCCGAAACACTAGTCCATTTGTTTATTTCGCTCTGGCGGATATGTTTGTTGTTCCAGATTGTAGTTTTCTTCTAATTTTCATATAGATACCTTTAGTGTTACTCTATAAAGTCATGCTTCTTGTGTTTATTTTACTTACTTTCTCGTTATCATAATACGAATCAGAGTTTCCTTTTCTCATAGAATCTTGAACGCTTTTAACACTTCCCTGGGTCGAAATTGTTACAGAATTACCTTGAATTTCATTGCCACACCAAATACTTTGGATGTATTCGGAATTTCACACGTGTTAAATTTTCGCAAATTTTTCCAACTCTTTGCTAGATGGTAATCAGATAGGGATGGGGACGGTTCTATCGGTTCCAATTCGGTTCTTCTTCGGTTCTACTTCGACTCTTCTTAAGTAAATTAAAACTTTGAGCGTTAAATTAAATTTATACTAATAGAGCATCATGTGATGATCAATTTAAAAAATTTCTGACTGGTTATCCAACAAATTCGTCCTATTATTACCTTTAATATGATGACAATCCGATTTTGAGCCAACTTTTGGAACCGGTCCGGAGTCGGTTCCGGTTCGACTTTTAAAATTGGTAAAATGGTTTGTAATTCAGGAAAACCCAGAATATGCAGAAATTATAATCGGTTCCAGAACCGACTCGGAGTCGCTCTTTTTGAACCGTCCTCAGATCGTGTACCCTCAAAAAAAAAGACTAGAGATAATTAATGTTTGAACATATAATTGTTACTGATTTTCATCTAAGTCCGTCAGTTCGTCACGTAGGCTTCAACACAGGCAAACACGTAGATTACCTGATGCCCTAACACTGATATTGAGGATCAAACAGACAAGCATGAAAGCATTACCTCTTTATAATTGTTTATAAGTAGTCGTGCCTTTTCTTTTTTACTTCCGTGTTCACTTTGAATAATATATTTAAGATATCTTAAATACGAATCTATAAGTATTTGAAAGGGTTCCTCTTTATTTTGTTCTAAGAAATCTAAAATATTCCAATCGGTATGAGTTTGTTCAAAGTATTGTTTATTTTATTTGTTTTTTTCATGTCGCTCTACTTATTTATGTTATTCATACACGACAGTTTTGAACACATTTTTCTATGTCCAAAACCTTGTCCAAAATATTTAAAATTAAAATGTGGACAAAACCCACTTATATAAAACACGAATGATCAAAGCATAGTTAAAAATCCATTTGATTGGATGAAAATCTGATCTTTTTTAATTGGTTAAAAATTAAAATTAAATTTTGATCGGTTCATATTACAAATAGATTTTTAATAAAATACGAAAAACCTCTACAAGAATGCCCTACCTACTACTATCACTTTCCCAAAAAATAACGATATATATATATATGAAGTTCATATAGATTTCAATTATATTAGAATGGTTTTCGTTTGACCGGTAGTATTAGTAAAGTGATATAAATTACTTTGCATGTATTTGTATTACAAACTATAATTGTTCAAATAATAAAATTGAGTAAACTAGTATGTTTAAATTTAAAAATTCTAAAGATTTTCGATTTTTAACTAAATTAGCTATAAGAAAAGTATCAATTAAAGGAAATCTTCAACTATATCCTTATTTGCAACCTGGTTATCAAATTTGTAGTCCTTATTATATGACTATTGTTAAAATATCCAATTATCTACACAAAAAGAGTCTTATGAAGAACCATTTATTCTAATATTATCAGTTAAATTATTGCTTGGTTGATCAGATTAAAAACATGACAAATGTATTATAAATAAAAAAAATAATAATGTGATATTTGATCCTAATAAATTTGATAAAATACTTGCAAAAACTGATATGTATACTATATTAATACTATAGGATTGCATACCTTATAATAAAAAAAAGATAAGAAAAAAATTATTGCTATCTTATACTTAATAATTAAAATATATAATAAATATATTAATAATTTCAAACTGAAACTTATTTTATGTAGTCAATTCTTTATAAATGCATCTTCTATAAATGTATATCTTTTATAAATACATCTTTTTATCTAGTTTCAACTTGGACTTTAATATAAAATACACATTTTTTTTTATATATATACTTTTTATAAATGCATTCTTCATAAAAAAATTTTATATACAGTTGAACCTCTTTATATATAATTACTTCTCCCTTATAAGCACTTTTTATTATACTAAAATTAATAATAAACTTATTAAAACTTCTCTTATATAATTATATTATATAATTTTTTTATAAACATACCAATTTTATTAATTCTGAAAGGTGTAATTATATAAAATATTGACTGTAGTTTACTTATAAATTTTTTATATTACCTTAATTTTAGATTAATATTATATATTTTATATATATTTTATAAATGTATATTTTCTTTAAATATATTTTTATATCTAGTTCTAAGGGAATATATTTATAGAAAATTAACTGTATTTTATAGAATTTAGAGTAAGTTGCAATATAATTAATATATTAAGTAATATTAAAATTTTAATTATCTATCAAATAGTATATAATTATAAAAATTTGCTAATAAATATCTAATAAGAATAAAAAAATTATTTTAATAAAAACAAAAATTATCTTTACATATATAATTTAAATAATTATCATATATCTATAAAAAAAACCTATATCAATTATATTTAATAATAAATCTGTCTATAATTTTAATAATATTGATATTTTTTATTATTTGTAAAAGATTTATTAATCAATATTAATATTATTTCAATTTATCATATTTATAATGAATAGTTCAATAGAATAGTTCATTTTTTTCTAACTTTGATAAAATTGATCAGCTCTTAATTTATTTTTATGATAATACTATTAAAAAACAAAAAAAAAATGCAAATAAAAGAAATAATTTTAATAGGAATAAAGAAATAATAACTATATTTTATATAAGCTTATCTAAATTGGCTTAATATTATATTAGATTATAAAAAAGAAATAGTTCATTTTAATAATAATGAAATTAATCAAGTCAGAATTTTATTTACTTATTTTCATAAAAAAAATAAGACTATAATATTAAATAAAATAATATCTTTTGTTTCTTTACTTGAATCTTTATACATTATACTTAATATAAAAGAGGTAATAAAAATTTATTATTTATTTTTTAAAAATTTTTTATTTTGTATTTAAAAAATAAAAAGTTTTAACTAAAAAATCTAGATTATAATAAATAAATTTTTTGCTTAAATTAATATTTACTATATAAATTAAAATTAAAAGCATATTGTAAAAAATTTATATTTTTATAAAAGATATTAAGTATCAAATTATTATAAAACTGTTAAATTATATTATATTAACTTCTTTTAATATATATATTTTGTTATTTTAATTCAAACTATTTAATAATTATATAGAAATAACTTTTTATATATAAACCTTTATATTGTAATAGTATTACAAAAATTATAATAAAATCCTATTAGTATTTTTATCAAATTTATTTTATTAAATATCTTATAAGAAAAATAATTAAAGAAATTTAATTTGATTTAATGATTACTAAACAAAAATATGTATAATAAAATATGAGTTATAATATCTTCAAAAGATACTATTAATAATATATAAAAATAGGCTTATCTTTTAGATTTTCAAAAATATTCTATATTTTATAAGATTTTTTCAACCACAAAAGATATTTATATTTATCATAGAATCTAAATTTTAATTACTAAAATTTGTATTTTTCTTATTTCATAATTTCAAGAAATTTATAAAAAAATGAAGAAACTATTTTAATTAGTAATCAAATTCCATTTTTATTAAAGCAATTAAAAAATAATTTACTTACTTTATATGATCTTTTTATTTCAAGTAAAATAGATATAATAAGTATACTTATTAAATATAATACATTATTTCTTTTCTTATTAAATAATTGAAATTAATATTATAAAATATTAATTATAAATGATTAAATAATTATTCTAATATGCAAATATAAATTTTATCTAAAATTAGAGTTCCGGATGAGTTGAGTTAACTCACGAGTCAGATAAGCTGAGTCGAGTTCAAATCAAGTCGAGTTGGTGTTT